GGCGTGCAACCCGATCCATATTTAGTATTGTAATCAAAAAGCCCTAGCTCTACCCAATCCCTAATTTTCTACCCTCAATCACATATTTTAGGCCTAGAAATCTAGTGGGTGTTGATAAAAATGGAAGAAAACAAGTCAAAGATTACCTACCCAAGAGGTTATGGTGACGAAGTTCTTCAAAAATCGCCCAAGAGGTGTGGAGAAGAAGAAGTTTGTGAAAAATGGGTTAAATCCCGTAATGCATTCTGTTTCTGGACTTTTAAAATAACTTGGCGGATTTGGTCATCGCGTTCGCGATAAGCTCATCGCGTTCGCGATGAATTAGGTCTGACAGACTTTCGCATTCGCGGAAGATGGCTCGCGTTCGCTGAGAAGTAACTCCTCGAACCTTCGCGTTCGCGTCCAAGTGGTCGCGTTCGCGTAGGTATAATTTTCCCTTCCCCTTGACCAGGCCACAAGCCTTCGCATTCGCGATACTAGGCCCGCGTCCGCGAAGGGTAGACCCCCCAAAGCTTCGCGTTCGCGACCTAGGTCTCGCGTTCGTGTAGAAGGAATTTTCCTTCAGCACAATTAACTCATTGCGTTCGCGAGGGTCCTCCCGCGAACACGAAGAAGAAAATACCTGAATACCATCAACTGAAAACCTGCAACTTTTTAAGAGTTTAAAACCTTCCGAAACACATCCGAAACACACCCGAGCCCTTGGGGGCTCCAAACCAAACATATGTACTAACTCAAAAACATCATATGATCCGCGCGATCAAATCGCCAAATTAACCCCTTAAATAACGAATTAAACCTCAAAATTAATGAAATATTTCAAAACTTCTTAAAACATCAAATTTTGCATTTAAGGTCCGAATCCCGTCAAACGGATTCCGTTTCTTACCAAACTTCACAGAATTATCTTAAATCACATATAGGACCTGTACCGGGTGCCGGAACCAAAATACGGGCCTGATACCAACATGTTCTAATCCAAATTCATTTCCAAATCCTTTAAACAATTTCAGAAAACAATTTTCTTTAAAAATTCATTTCTCGGGCTTGGGACCTCGGAATTCGATTCCGGGCATACGCCTAAGTCCCATATTTTTCTACGGATCCGGGACTGTCCGATTACGGGTCCGGGTCCGTTTACCCAAAATATTGACCGAAGTCAACTTAAATGCATTTTAAGTCAAAATTTCAATATTTTCACAGATTTTTCACATAAAAGCTTTCCGGCTACACGCTCGGACTGTGCACGCAAATCGTGGTGAAGCTATAAGCGGATTTTAAGGCCTCGAAACATAGAATTCATTTTAAAAACAAGTGATGACCTTTTGGGTCATCACATTCTCCACCTCTAAAACAACCGTTCGTCCTCGAACGGACATAACAAAGAAGTACCTGAGTCGGGGAAAATATGGAGATAACGGCTCCGCATATCGGACTCGGACTCCCAGGACGATGCCTCAGGAGGCTGACCTCTCCACTGAACACGAACAGAAGTAAAACTCTTCGATCTCAACTGACGAACCTGCCGGTCTAGAATGGCTACCGGCTCCTCCTCATAAGACAAGTCCTTGTCCAACTGGATAGTGCTGAAATCTAACACGTGGGATGGATCGCCGTGATACTTCCGAAGCATGGACACATGAAACACTAGATGCACGGCTGATAAGCTCAGCGACAATGCAAGTCTATAAGCCACCTCTCCCACTCGATAAAGAATCTCAAACGAACCAATGAACCTAGGGCTAAGCTTGCGCTTTTTCCCAAATCTCATCACGCCTTCATAGGCGACACTCGAAGCAATACCCGCTCACCCACCATGAAAGCCAAATCTCGAACCTTGCATCGGCATTAACTCTTTTGCCTGGACTGAGGTGTACGAAGCCAATCCTGAATGATCCTGACCTTGTCCAAGGCATCCTGAACCAGATCCGTACCTAATAACCTAGCCTCTCCCGGCTCAAACCATCCAACCGGAGACCGACACCGCCTACCATATAAAGCCTCATAAGGAGCCATCTGGATACTCGACTAGTAGCTGTTGTTGTAGGCAAACTCTGCTAAAGGCAAAAACTGATCCCACGAGCCTCAAAGTCAATGACACAAGCTCGGACCATATCCTCCAAAATCTGAATAGTCCACTCGGACTGCCCGTCCGTCTGAGGATGAAATGCTGTGCTCAACTCAACCCGTGTGCCCAACTCTCGCTGAACTGCTCTCCAGAAACGTGAGGTAAACTGCGCACCTCGCTCCGAAATGATAGACACAGGCACACCATGAAGGCGAACAATCTCCCGGATATAGATCTCAGCTAACCTCTCGGAAGAATATGAGACAGCTACAGGAATGAAATGCACTGACTTGGTTAGCCTATCAACTATGACCCACACTGCATCGAACTTCTTCTGAGTCCGTGGGAGTCCAGTAACGAAGTCCATAGAGATCCGCTCCCACTTCCACTCGGGAAGCTCAATCCTTTGAAATGAACCACTGGGCCTCTAATGCTCGTACTTAACCTGCTGACAATTCAAACACCGAGCCACATATGCAACGATATCCTTCTTCATTCTCCGCCACCAATAATGCGCCGCAAATCCTGATACATCTTCGCGGCGCCCGGATGAATAGAGTACCGGGAGCTATGGGCCTCCTCTAAAATCAACTCTCAGAGTCCATCCACATTAGGGACACAAACTCGACCCTGCAATCTCAAAACTCCATCATCACCTAAGGTAACCTGCTTGGCACCTCCGTGCTGCACCGTGTCTCTAGGACACAGAAATGGGGATCATCATACTGCCGATCTCGAAAACGCTCCAATAATGAAGAACGAGCGACTGTGCAAGCTAACACACAGCTGGGCTTAAAAACATCCAACCTCACGAACTGATTGGCCAAAGCCTGAACATCCAAAGCAAGCGGTCTCTCACCGACCGGAATATAAGCGAGACTGCCCATACTGGCTGACTTCCTACTCAAAGCATCGGCCACCACATTGGCCTTTCCCGGATGATATGAGATAGTGATATCATAGTCTTTCAACAACTCCAACCACCTCCTCTGCCTTAAATTCAACTCCTTTTGCTTGAACAAATACTGAAGACTCTTGTGATCCGTGAACACCTCACATGCCACGCCATATAGATAATGCCTCCAAATCTTTAATGCGTGAACAATGGCTGCCAACTCCAAATCATGAACCGGTTAGTTCTTCTCATGAATCTTCAACTGCCGCGAAGCATAGGCAATGACCTTGCCATCCTGCATCAACACTACGCCAAGTCCAATACGAGATGCATCACAATAAACTGTATAAGGCCCTGAACCTGTGGGCAAAACCAACACCGATGCCGTAGTCAGAGCTGTCTTGAGCTTCTGAAAGCTCGCCTCACACTCATCCGACCATCTGAACTGGGCACCCTTCTGGGTCAACCTGGTCATCGGGGCTGCGATGGATGAGAACCCCTCCACGAACCGAAGATAGTAGCTTGCCAATCCCAAGAAATTCCGAATCTCTGTAGCTGATGCTGGTCTAGGCCAGTTCTTGATTGCCTCAATCTTCTTCGGATCAACCTGAATACCCTCTGCTGATACAACATGACCCAGAAATGAAACTGAACTCAACCTGAACTCACACTTCGAGAACTTAGCATATAACTGACTATCCCTCAAGGTCTGAAGAACTACTCTAAGATGCTGCTCGTGCTCCTTCCGGCTGCGGGAATAGATCAGAATATCATCAATGAAGACTATCACGAACGAATCCAAATAAGGCCTGAACACTCAGTTCAAAATCAAATCCATAAAAGCTGCTGGGGTATTTGTCAACCCGAATGACATCACCAAGAACTCATAATGCCCGTACCGAGTGCGGAAAGCTGTCTTAAGGACATCGGATGCCCTAATCCTCAATTGATGGTAGCCAGATCTTAAGTCAATCTTCGAAAATACCTTGGTACCCTGGAGATGATCAAACAAATCATCAATCCTCGGCAATGGATACTTATTCTTGATTGTAACCTTGTTCAGCTGCCAGTAATCAATACACATTCTCATCGACCCATCCTTCTCCTTAACAAACAACACCGGCGCACCCCAAGGCGAAATACTGGGTCTAATGAAACCCTTCTCAAGTAAGTCTTGCAACTGCTCCTTCAACCCTTTCAACTCAGGCGGGGCCATACGATACGGCGGGATAGAAATGGCTTGAGTGCCCGGAGCCAAATCAATGCAAAAGGCAATATCCATGTCGGGTCGCATACCCGGCAGGTCTGAGGGGAAAACCTCAGGAAACTCACGAACAACGGGCACAGAATCAATAGAAGGAACCTCAGCACTAGAATCATGAACATATGCCAAATAGGCCAAACACCCCTTCTGACCATACGCCGAGCCTTCACATAAGAGATAACACTACGGGTAGAATGACCAGGAGTCCCTCTCCACTCTAAACAGGGTAAACCCAGCAAGGCTAAGGTCACCGTCTTGGCATGACAATCCAAGATAGCGTGGTAAGGTGATAACCAGTCCATCCCCAATATAACATCGAAATCAACCATGTCTAGAAGTAACAAATCTACACGAGTCTTAAGACCCCCAATCACCACAATACAAGAACGATGGACTCGATCTACCATAATAGAATCACCCACCGGTGTAGACACATATACAGGGACACTCAAGGAATTACTAGGCATGACCAGATACGGTGCAAAATAAGATGACACATAGGAGTAGGTGGACCCTGGATCAAATAAAACTGAAGCATCTCTGCCACAAACTAGAACAGTACCTGTAATAATTGCATCGGAAGCCTCAGCCTCAGGTCTGGCTGGAAGAGCATAACATCGGGGCTGGGCCCCACCACCCTGGACTACCTCTCTNATCTGTAATGTCTGCATCTGAAGACTTAGCCTCTGGCCTGGCTGCTGGCTGGCCTCCACCTCCGGCGGCCTGAGCTCCACCTCTATGACCTCTACCTCCACCTCTAACACCCCTGCCACCGCCTCTAGCTGGCTGAGCAGGCTGTGGAACCTCTGGTGCCTGAATCCTAGTATGAGAACCGTGATGCTGAATGTTGCTCGAAGCTCGAGGGCAAAATCTGACAATGTGCCTCGGGTCACCACAAGCGTGGCAAGACCTCGACTGCTGCAGCTGAGCACCCCTCAACCTCGGGCATGCCCTCCTGAGGTGACCATGCTCACCACACTCATAGCATCCACGCGAATGCTGAAGCTGAGGAAACTGAGACTGACCCTGTCGACCTGAATGGCCACCTGAAGTACCATGAGTGACCTGAAGAGCTGACTGAAAGGGCCTAGGAGGATGGCCTCTACCATAAGAACCTCTACCTCCTGACGAGGTTCCACTGAATCTGCCTCCATGACGGGGCCTCTTATCCGACCCATGACCACCTCCCTATGGCAGAACCATCTCAACTCTACGGCCCATATTGGCCACCTCCCGAAAAGGGATCTCACTCCCGGTCTGAGCCACTATACCCGGCTGACCTACCACGACTGGCTGAACCACTGGAACCTGAACCTGGGAAGCTACCTGCTCCGGAGTACGTGTAGAAGGAGTCTGAACCCCTCCTCCAGCCTGAGGAGTGGCTGGTGCTACTGGAAGCAAACCCGCTCGAATGACACTCTCCACGAAGCCTACCAATCGGACCAGAGCGTCCTGAAGAACTGGGGTGGCAATGAACCCCTCTGGGACCTGAGCTGGGCCTACCAGGACTGCTGGGGCTGGAACCTCCTCCTCCAAACCAACCTGAGGCTCTGCCACTGGGGCTGCTGCTGGAGACTCGGACGGCTGAGCGGTAGATGAAGAAGCACGGATGATCGCCATCTGCGAATGAACAGAGTAGAAACTCAATCGGTGTCCGAGAAACAGCACCGCACGACAAGAAAGAACAAATGTGAAGTTCTCCTAACTCTGTAGCCTCTGGGGGANAATAAGACCATCAATGAACCTCCTCACCCTCTCTCTCTCTCGGTGGGAAGTATGATAAGAGCATGACGAGCCAAATCGATGAATCTGGTCTCATACTGGGTGACAGTCATAGAACCCTGCTGGAGACAATCAAACTGCCTCCGATAGGCCTCTCTCTGTGTGATAGGGAGAAACTTCTCCAGAAATAGCTGAGTGAACTGCTCCCAAGTCAAGGCTGGTGATCCGGCTGGTCTAGCCAAGCAATAATCTCTCCACCAAGTCTTGGCGGATCCAGACAAGCAAAAAGTGGCAAAGTCGACCCCATTGGTCTCAACTATCCCCATGTTCCTAAGAACCTCGTGACAACTGTCTAGATAATCCTGGGGATCTCAGTAGATGCACCGCTGAAAGTAGTAGTAAAGAGCTTGGTGAACCAGTCCAACCTCCACAAAGCATCGGCAGATATAGCTGCTCCATCTCCGGTCAGAGCTACCACACCCGGCTGAACTGCTCCAACTGGCTGAACCGTTGGAGTCTGAAACTAGGGAGCCATCTGCTCCGGAGTGCGAGTAGCAGGAGTCTGGGCTCCTCCTCCAGCCTGAGAGACGGCTCGTGCTACAGGAAGCAAGCCTGCCCGAGTGACACTCTCCATAAGGCCCACTAGACGGACCAGAGCATCCTGGAGTACCGGGGTAGCAATAAAACCCTCTGGGACCTGAGCTGGGCCCACCGGAACTGCCTGGGCCGGAACCTCATCATCAAAGTCAACCTGAGGCTCCGCCGCTGGTGCTGCTGCTCTGGGCTGAGCTCCGCCCCTGCCTCGGCCTCTGGCACGGCCTCGGCCTCGCCCTCTGCCCCTCATGGGAGCTGCTGCTGGGGGCTCGGGCTGCTGATCGGTGGATGAGGAAGCGCGTGTTCTCGCCATCTGCGAAAGAACAGAGTAGAAATTCAATCAGCATTGAGAAACCAAACCGCACGACAAGAAAGAACAAATGTGAAGTTTTTCCTAACTCTGTAGCCTCTGGGGGATAAATACAGACGTGTCTGTACCGATCCCTCAGACTCTACTAAGCTTGTCCGTGAATTGTGAGACCTATGTAACCTAGAGCTCTCATACCAACTTGTCACGACCCGGATTTCCCACCCTCGGGAGTTGTGATGGCGCCTACTCGTAGAAGCTAGGCAAGCCACGAAATATAGAAATTCTGACTCTTCCAGTTTAATCCTTTTTAACAACTTGAATTAACAGGTAATCATTAATTTAGAATTTACGATAAACAGAAATAAGCGGAAGACTTAAACAGCTAAAAAAAATAATCAAGCCCGTACTACAATGCTAATATACTCCACTACCCGGAATCTGGTGTCACAATATCATGGACTGCCTATGAGTACTACATACAAGTGTCTGAAAAAGGAAATACAGTCTGTCTCGGAAACAAGTGAAAACAGACCACATAGTAAGATAGAAGAGAACGCCGGGCCTGCGGACGCCTGCAGGACTACCTCGGGATCTCTAGCTGGACTGAAGGCAGCCTCTCCAAGTGCTACTGTCGAAAAGTTGCTCCGGGATCTGCACATAGTGCAGAGTGTAGCATCAGCACAACCGACCCCATGTGCTGGTAAGTGCCTGGCCTAATTCCGGCGAGATAGTGACGAGGCTAGGACCAGACTCCCGATAAACCTGTGCAGTTATATAATATACAATGGAAAAATAAACAGGAACGAACAATTTAAATGGGAGTCGGTACGTGCTATGGGGAAAAATGTCAAATCCAGTAGGAACTCAAGAGAAATATGAGAGAACAATTCAAAATCTACAACAAAACAATAATAATACTGTTGCGGCGCGCAACCCGATCCCTTATCATTTAACACTGTTGCGGCGTGCAACCCGATCTATTTATATCACTGTTGCGGCGTGCAACCCGATCAAATATAACATTGTTGCGGCGTGCAACCGGACCCAATATAACAGTGTTGCGGTGTGCAACCCGATCCATATTTGGTATTGTTCCGGCGTGCAACCCGATCCATATATAACATTGTTGCGGCGTGCAACCCGATCCATATTTAGTATTGTTACGGCATGCAACCCAATCCATATATTTATATACATTTAGCAACAACCAGACCGAGAGTCCCGGCAAGGCATCAACAATAAACTACACTATCCCGGCAAGGGATTCGACAGTAAAAGTAAATACGTCCCGGCAAGGGAGAATCAGCTATAACCAATCTTAACTCAACTTCTACTCATCTCAGCTAACATCGATACTCAATCATAACTAATTTCCACGAAAACCAACTTAATCCTTGCTCAATATCGAGAATCATCAATTAAAGCATCCGTAGTATCATTTAAGAATACAACAAATTGCAATTATGACTCACGGTCATGCTCGACACCGATGTATAGGTAGTCGTCACCATGCCTATACGTCGTACTCAACAAGAAGCAAATAGCAAATAGGACATAACTCCTAATCCCTCAAGCTAAGGTTAGACCGAACACTTACCTCGAACTTCCACGACCAACTCCAGCCTCAAACACCGCCTTTCCTTTCGAACTCGGCTCCAAATAAATTGTATCTAGACATAATCGACTTAATAACATCAATTAACGCTAAACAATCCAATTCCAATGCTTAATTATAGCTTTCCAATCATTCTTCCCAAAAAGTCAAAAATTGACCCCGGGCCCGCTTGGTCAAAACACGAGGTTCGGACCAAAACCCGATCACCCATTCACCCACGAGCCCGAATATATAATTTGTTTTGAAATCCGACCCCAAAACGAGGTCTAATTCCCAAAATATTCAAAAAGCCCTAACTCTACCCAATCCCCAATTTTCTACCCTTAATCACATGTTTTAGGCCTAGAAATCTAGTGGGTGTTGATAAAAATAGAAGAAAACAAGTCAAAGATTACCTACCCAAGAGGTTATGGTGATGAAGTTCTTCAAAAATCGCCCAAGAGGTGTGGAGAAGAAGAAGTTTGTGAAAAATGGGTTAAATCCCGTAATGCATTCTGTTTCTGGACTTTTAAAATAACTGGGCGGATTTGGTCATCGCGTTCGCGATACCATGCCCGCGTTCGCGAAGGGTAGACCCCCGAAAGCTTCGCGTTCGTGACCTGGGTCTCGCGTTCGCGTAGAAGGAATTTTCCTTCAGCAAAATTAACTCATCGCGTTCGCGAGGGTCCACCCGTGAACGCGAAGAAGAAAATACCAGAATACCAGCAACTGAAAACCTGCAACTGAAAACCTGCAACTTTTTAAGAGTTTAATACCTTCCGAAACACATCAGAAACACACCCGAGCCCTCGGGGATCCAAACCAAACATACGTACTAACTCAAAAATATCATATGAACTTATCCGTGCGATCAAATCGCCAAATTAACCCCATAAACAACGAATTAAACCTCAAAATCAATGAAATATTTCAAAACTTCTTAAAACATCAAATTTTGTATTTAAGGTCCGAATCCCGTCAAACGGATTGCGTTTCTTACCAAATGTCACGACCCAAAATCCATAAAGGGGCGTGATGACGCCGGACACCGCTGTCAGGCAAGCCAACCAAATACTTAATTAAACTCCAATTTTAAGAATTTTGAAAAACCAAGATTTTCCTTTAAATTTCATAAGTAAAAAGATAACTGCTTCGATTCAAATTAATTACTAGCAATCCATACAAAAATATTTAAAAACCATCCCAGAACCAGGTGTCACAAGTGCATGAGCATCTACTGATGTCACACCTCATTTTTTGCACACCTACCCCGAAGGATAGTGTATAAGAGAGTTTTTCCATTTAAAGTTACATTATTCAAAATGGGATTATTTATTTATTTTTAGAGTCGCCACTTGGGATAGGATTGACTTTTGGTATCCCAAGTCACCGGTTTAACTTGAATCCCAGATCGAGGAAAATTTCGACTTCCCATTTGGAGTCTGCGAACCAGAAATTCTGAATAAGGAATTCTGTTAACCCGAGGGAAGGTGTTAGGCACCCCCGGATCCCGTTGTTCTAGCACGGTCGCTTAAATTATTATAATTGGCTAAAAATCTGATTTTAATACATGTTTTAACTTATGTGCTTTTTAAATTTAAAACGCTTTTATTATTATTTTTAAAGAGAATTGAAACGTCGTGAAAACGCGTCTCGAACCACGTCACAAAAAGGCACCCGCGATTTTTGATACATTCCGACTTCGTTGAGATTTGAATTTGGGTAACATAAATGAGCACCCGAGTTTAGGAAAGTATATTATTAAAATGCGCGCCTAAAGCAACTAATGTGTTGATAACTTTGCGGGAGGCCATGAAAATTCACTAAATGGCACGTCCCGAGTTCTAAGTATTTTAATGGAAGTATTTTAGGAGGGCCACGCAATTTATAATTTTTGTTTGGTGCGGCGCACCTCGATTTCATTGTTAAAGGATACTAGACTAAGGTTGAAGGGTCATGAACTATTATGTTATTTAAGAAGGCCTTCCTAGAATTATTTTTGAGGGCCTTACCAATTGGCTAAGGTCACAAGGACTAGATGTGGGCTATGAATTTAAAATCTAGTAACTAAATACAAAGACTAAAGTGACACAACTGGGCCTGAAGGAGAGGCCCAATATTTAATATTTGAATCTCTGAAACTGCCTGCGTACAAAACACCTCCGCTGTAAAGCTAATTAATGTTTTGGACCTCTAAACAGGCCTATTTCAATCACCTGGGCAGCCTATTTTAATTAACAAGTATAACACAATTTGAATTTGTTTATTCTCTTTCAATTTATAGCCCAAAAGCCAGGTGAGTTAAGAACCAAGTTGGGCCATCCATAAGTAAAATCAGGGCTCAAATTTTATTCAAATAAAAGGCTGTCATGTTTTGGCTCATAAATGAGCCCAAATCAG